TATTATTTTTCAGGTTAGATTGTATCTATTGATATAGATCAGGGGTTCCCAACCAGGGGTGCGAGACAGTATTCCAGGGGATGCGAAAACCTGAATTTAGAAGTTTCAAAACTATAGTGTATATGCATAAACTAGGTATTACTTTTGTAAGGGGTGCGAGAATATATCAGAAGCGTTCTATGGGTGCAGGGTATAGAAAAGGTTGGGAACCACTGATATACAGTAGATATATAATATTTATATACAGTACACACATACAATTTTTTCAGGTTATCATTTGATTTTTTAAAAAACACTTGATTTAAATTAAAACATTTGAGATCCTTCCCTAGAATAAACAATAAAGAAATTGATAAATCCAAAATTATTAGAAAACATTTCTCCCTAAAGATAGACTAAAATTGTGTAGGAAAATCTGAAACATGTGTGATTTATTTATATAATTCTGTAACCACAACCTCCTAAAGGGAATGACTGCCAAACTAATCTCAGAACAATTAGTATAGTTTGAAAAGCCTGCCAGAGTTGGCTGGAAAAAAAGGAAGGAAGGAAGGAAGGAAGGAAGGAAGGAAGGAAGGAAGGAAGGAAGGAAGGAAGGAAGGAAGGAAGGAAGGAAGGATGGATGTTGGCAGTACAACTTGGCCTACCTACCAAAGCTGAGCAAAAGGTTTGTGGCCTGAAATAAAGTTGTGACTATATGAATTGCCCCAATCAAAGTACATGGCTGTTTCCAAAAAGGTTTTCTTCGAGCTTGTGTGATTGCTTTTGAGAAATGATTTATTCTTACTCACTAGAGGCTGTAGTGAGACCAATTATGTTATTTGTATGACAATTATTTGGAATATAATACTCAGGCTGGGAGGAATATTTGCAGTACTTAGTGATGATGTTAAGGCAGCGTATCTGAATGTAAAGCTATGTTATGTCTTTCCACTGTCATAAATATACAGTAGCTGCACTACCTGTAGCATATATAGTGTATACATTATCTCATATGTCATCGTGAAATAATTTCTGAACAGTGTATCTGCATTTAGAATGTCAAGCTGAGTGTTGTCTTATATACATAAGTTTGTGTGCAAAATAATAATATATACTACATTGCCAACAATTGAACTGGATGAATCTTCAAGTAGCAACTTATCTCCTGGCACATTAACTATGCACTATTGTAAAAGAGCCTCACAACTCAGGGTTTTTTTTTTTTCTTGAATAAAGAGCAAAGGCATTAGATGAGCTTTGTTATCTAAGTACTCCAATACTACACCATATTATGGCTGTGAATCTTTGAAAATAATTCAGAAGATGTGCTGCAGTTCAGGTGACCATAGCACTTCTCAGGTCCTTATTTTAAAAAGCCCCACAATTTTACAGAAATGATGTGAAATGCTATGGCTGATTTAAGAATTACAATAACTGTAATGAACTGACAGCTTAAAGCACCAGCATTTTTTTGTTTTGTTGCAAAGAAGGGAGAGCAAAAGATAAACAGTTACAATGAATATATAACAAAATTCAAGGAGTAGCACTTCTTTTGAACAATTTTTGAAGCACGCACATGTGGTGTATGGAGTAAAAGGTAAACAGAACTGAGTTGCAAAAATATGGATGACCACAAGATGGCAGAATAGTTTTCTGTATCTCTACTGCCATATATCAGTGGTCTGAATTTGCAGCTTATACTCTGGATATTATGCTGATTACTGAGATGATGCAGTATAATTGTTGAGAGAACCTCAGATTCTATAGAGCTTCTAGCATCGATGCTACATTGGCCCCAGTTCTATTATGGAGGTTACTAAAAGGGAAAGGATATAAAATCTGTCTTGGTTGCTGATACCGTAGCATTATTAAATAAAATAAAAGTAGGGGACCCTCACTTAGAAAGGAAAAAAATGATGTCCTGTTATCTTGGGTGTGTTTTAAATTGTAATAACTTGGACTTTTTCATCAATAATACATTCCTCAGTGTATGTAGGCATTAAGCTGAAAAAGTTCAGATTGATTTCTTGTAGCTTTTGCCATTTCTTACAGCTAGACCATAATTCAATTCTGATTAAGTAATTATTTTAGCTGCATATAGCAATTACTCCACACAAAGCAGTAGGTTTGTTAAATTACTGCATTTAATATAGAACTCCAAGTGAAAACTTATTTATCAAACTCTATCAGGTTGTCTAGAGTTCAAATTGCCAGATCTGATAAACCAGCCTTATTGTTTCAAAACTGGCTTTAGACTTTTATTCTAATGAAATAGCTAGGTACTATTTTAACCTTTTGATTTTTAGTTGTTATGAAAGTCCTTAAAAGTTTTAGCTAGTGTCAATATACCATTTTGGGGGGGATTGAAGTTCTTCAACAGTTTTTCTAACATAACTTGATATCTGACTAACTTGGGAACCTGAACACTCTTTCTGAAGAATATTGTTTCATATACACAATTCCACAGGAGCAACCCCATTCTCAAACTTGGTCTATGTTTACAAAACACAATGAACAACAATCTGCCCAATCTCATTTTAGGGAACCATGTTGTGCAAACCTAACATATGTGCTTAATTTATGGTTCAGTGCATTCCACAAACCCAGAAAATTTCACAATGATTAAGTTAACGATAGGTAATTGTATCATGTTAAAATAGATTTTATGCACATGCATAAAATACCTCAGATTTATAATGATTGACTCTGTTTACGGAAAGCAAAAGACTAATTAATCATATATCCAATTAATCACAGCGAATCAGGTTCCCTTCAATTTTGGCTCACGCTTCATTTCAACTTCAATTTATAACAAATAACTATCTCCATGTTAAGTTTTCCATAACATAATAAAATAGGAGAAAGGAGGAACAACATCAAGTAGTCCATTATCCTGTAAAGGGTAACATGGTGCAGTATCTAGGGTTTGTTTTTTTTTAATAAGACCTTTCCCATGTATATTTTTTTAACTTAATGAAGGAATATTTCTTATTCTGTTTGAGATCCCATATTTCTTCAAGGAAGTATATCTATTATGGGATTAAATAGGACATTTCTCCATGGTCAAAAATAATGAGATCTTAAATTTATATATTTATTTAGTAAACTAATGTCTATGGCTGCCCACCTAACACAAGGAACTCTAGGTAGCTAGCAATATAATTAGAAGATAAAGCCACGTGAACAACATCAACAAAAGTTGAAATCCCAATAAAACTTGCATCTACCAATCAAGCACAATCACTAGGTAGTTCCATCAACATGCTTGTTCCTGAAGGCCAACAAGGTTGAGCCCTTCCGTATATCTGGAGGTGGGGGGGAGGCTGTTGCATAAGGCAGTGCCGTGACAGGGAAGGGCACTCCCAAGGCCACACAAGGTGATACTGTTTCACCAAGAGAACCTAGTGGAAAGGCAGAAACCATCAGGGAGCAGGTAAACTGGTCCCATGGCAGAAAGGGCTTTAAAAGTGAGAACCGACACCTTGATTGTATCTGGAAGTCTATTGGAAACCGATGCAGGTCACTGAGTAGTAAGTGTTATCTGGGTATACCGCCAATTCTCCCACTATCACCCACGTAACTGCATGCTGAGGTAGCTGAGCTTCTGCAACAAAGAGAATAAGCACTGTACGCCAGCAGTGAAGTGCAAAACAGTGATGGATTTGTATAGTTACCTGGTGCAAGCATCTTTCGACTTTTTGCATGTTACACTGTGACACAGGACAAAATTCCTCCTCGTGGCTCTGATCATTACTACCGTAATGAACTGCTAGGTCAACTTACTATCAAGGAGCAAACTCTATAAAAGTTACTGTCCATTCTGTGTATAGATGCATACTAGAAGGTTTTTAGGTATTTTTTTTTTCCAAAATGGTATCACTTGCAAGGGTTTCTTTTAAAAAAAAGGCAATAGTTGCCTCATATCCCTGTGAGGTTTGGGGACTTCAGTGAAGGAAGATGACAGACCCATAGGGAAGAATATGTGCTTAATTTAGGATGGAGAATCACGAGGGAAAGGCAAAGAGAAATGCAACGGTAACAAAACCCCACATTCTTTGCTATTAGAAGGAAAGGGTTAAGGCTGGCTTGGCCAGGCTCTGTTGTGCGTATGCAATAATCTGTGTGGCTCTCTTGGCCGTCTGACAAAGAGTTGCCTCCTTCTCCTCCACCCCTTCGCATGAAGTAGGATCCTTGAGCTAACGCCGAGGCTGCCAACTGCTCCATATTTGCCTTCTATTACACATTTACATACTGGAGAAAGAGAGGAGCGACCTTCTATCCGCAGACATCATTTCTATTACAGTTGGTAAGGAAGCAACTGTATCACCACCGGAGGGGAGGAGAAATAAATTATTATTTTTTCTTTTTCTTTTTTTTTTAAAAAAGAAGCCAAGTAAAATAAAAATAAAATCCCGAACCCTTGAGATCAACTGGCAAGTATTTCTTTTTCCGGTCCGTCTTCCCCACACCCCCAGTCTCCATTGACACTTTATACAGTAAGTGGCTTTTTTAAAAAAAATTCCTCCTCTGCTTTCGCTTCTTTCGCTTCTCTCCCCAGCCCCCCCCCGCCCCCCGCTCCGGCAAGCCTCCAGATATTTCCAGCTGGAAAAACACATACAAGGTTACTGGAAAGGGGGAAGGGCGACGTAAGGCTCCGTTATGCCACGGGTTGGAAGTCGCCCTGTAAGAATTCTCTTAAATTGCAATCGCTTCTTTCTTCCTCTCGTTTTTTCTCCTCCCCCCCC